GGGGGGCGGGAGGAGGTGAGTTCTCTCTTACTCATTATACTGCCTTTAAAAAAAATAAATTTAACAGAGGACTTACTTAATTCACAGAGTGTAAATCTGACGATGACTATAATTTCTTTATTTTTATTTTCAACGGAAAAATGTTAAAGTTCGAACTAGAACCTTTCTCACATTAATTGTTGTGGTGTGGAAAGTGGAACGGAATATATTGCCAGCAATTAAGGTTTAAGTTGACATTTTTTGATAGGTAGTTGTGCATGAGAGAAGAGGATTGTGTTCTGAGGTTATTCTTTTCCATTTGAAAAACAGCCCTCAAAAGGCTCCCATTTAATTTCTTATCAGCGCCTGTTTGTCTTTTGTGACGATTATTGTTTTAGAGAAAATTGCTTGTATTCACACTGAAATCATGACATTGGTGATCTAGTGATTAGGCTATAAGGTCAGTGACAGAAAGTTCATGGGTTCAAACCCTGTCAGAGGCCTCATGTTGTGGCTTTGGCAAAGACAAATTTTTCTCACTTTACCCAGATGGGAACAGGTACCCAGCTTTTGACAGTGAAAAATCTTGTCCGTTTGTAAGTGTTTGAGTGCTAAATCGGCTGATTCCACTGAATGCGTCCTGGGAATATTAGAATTCGTTTGAGTATTCTAGGATTTGCAGGGGTACTATTAGAGTGCTACACAAAAGCTATTTGTTATTTTGTAAGTTTGGTGAATCTTTTTTTTCTTTCTCCATTGCTTACATTACATAATTTATTCCTATAATAAACAGCTTTGTGTGTACCATATTTGTCTTCAGTTTTGATGCTTTTGTGGCAAGTAATTTTTTCTGTAGTTATTTTGATCTTTGTATTCATCTTTTCTAATTTGGCAGTGGAATGCTTCACACAGGGTTTGATGCACCACTGTACAGCTTGGAAATGCGCTGTATTAAGGAGTGTCAAAAAAGCATCTTCCAACTTATCGACAAGTTCAGTATTCCTCTCCGCAAATGTGGAACAGTTTTGGTGGCTTGGACGGAACAAGATGTTAGTCCCATCCCCTTATTAGTACCCATGTATTTTGTCAAACAAAAACCCACTCCGCTCCTGAGCAACTGTAACGACTTACATCAAAAAGTTTCACCCTCTATAATATTATACTGTATAATTGCATTGTGAAGTTAAAATGTTTTGCTCTTTATGTGCTAAGTACCATGTTTTTCTTACTCCACAGTGTGGACCTATAGCACTGCAATAGAGAGAATTATAACAGACAAATTTAGCAAAAAAACTAATGGCTGTCAAATGTTTTAAGATGTAACAAATAATCATGTGTCTTGACATTGTTTCCACCCGTCTTTTCCAGTAACTAGAAAACAAACATATAAGAGCAGCAGAAGTACAGAGACATTCTCATTTGAGAAATTCTCAATCCTAAATGTTTTGCTGTTGCTATATATTGATAGTGGTATCAAACTTAGGCTTGTGAATGACAGTATGCTGGTATGTCAGATTTCCTTATACAGAATGCAGCTTGCTGTAATATCAAAACTTAAAGATTTTTACTTTCTAAAGTGAATTTTGTTTGTGTTCCAGAAACAAAAGATACCCTTGATTCAACAGAAAAGCCAGCAAGCTGAACTTGGGGAGGACATTTCTGAAGTGACAGCGAGCAGCTTGTATAAGCTGGAGCCAGCACTTGCTTCAGGAGCTCTCGGAGCATTGCATGTACCCGGGGAATGTGTAGTGGACTCGTGGCTTCTGGGAATCTCATATCTCCACCATGCTCAGATGCAAGGGGCAAAGGTGAGCGACGAATTTTATTTGTGTTACATTCAATCTGTGCAACAAATCAAATCCTAACTGAACAGGACTCACAAAAAAGCCTGACTTTCCCTTTTGTTGTAAGAATGCGTCCATCCAGTAATTTATATCTGTCATGACGCTGTGGAATCAGGCACTCGTCAATTTTCAGGCATATGGAGTTATTGGTATCATCTAAAAACTTATTAATTGGTCTTGTTTTAAATTTAAAAAATACCCATCTACCTTGAATAGAAGTCGAGATATTTGTTATTGATATCTCTTGAGAGTCCTTGAAAACTTAAAAATTACCTATTTTGTGCTTTTAATCGTCGTTTTTTAGTCAAGTTCACATGGAAATGTGTTTTTATATGGATATAAAAGGTGTTAAGCCAAAAAAACGAGAACTGAATCAAAATTGCTAAACTGGTGGGAAAATGCCTGTTCTTCAATTTCATTATTGACGAGAGCCTGATTTGACCACGATACCTCACATATAATCTTGTCTTATTTGACAGGTTCTGACCAACTGCAGAGTCATTTCTGTCACTGATGGTTTACTGCATACAACTCGAGGTGTTGTACAGGCAAAAGTGACCATGAACTGCGCTGGTCTTTATGGAGACCTCGTCGATAAACTCGTGGATATTAATACTTTCAGGTTGTTATACATTTTATGGCTGGGTCTGTAATATGCCTGCTGGAAAAAGGAATATTATTGTCTGGAATTTTCGAAGTTTGTGATTTGGTCTGTAGAAAATGAAAAATGAAATTCTGCACGAAAGTAATACAATTTTCTGTATCTGTCTTTTTCATTCAAGTGTGTTCAGAAAATTTGTTTTCCATAGCTAGAATGCCTGCCCAATAAACATTATTACTGGAAAAAATAAATGTTACTGATGTGATTCCTCATTTGCCATTATTTAAAGACTTTGCCCAGCTCACTTGTTCCATTTTGTGACATAATTACTTCTCCTGAAAATGTAAATCTTTCTTTCAAGTATTGTGTTATCTCTGTAATGTGTCATAAATTGTTGCTCACATCAGTTTACTCTTGAGCTGCAGGTTAAAGAGGTGTTTTAAGTGTTTTCTCTTCAAAGATTCTGTAGTCCTCTAAAGGATTCCTCATGCATATTTTTCTAAGTATTCGCCTTCAGTTTATAGTTGATACAGGAACACATTAAGTGTTTATGATGTAATTCCCGGTGTGTTTTGTGCTCATGTGTACATTGGAAATTTTAACGTCCCAACTTTTGGTAATACTGTTTAATCTTGTTATGACTACAGAATCCTGCCAAGGAAGGGACAGTACTGTGTGTTTGACAAAAGTGCAAGCCCCTTATTTAACTCCATTATATTTCCTGTCCCTTCAGAGAAGTCAAAAGGAGTGGCTGTGTTCAGAAGTGGTAAGAAAACTGACAGTAGTAATTTCTGTAGTGATTCAAAGCTCTTAGTTAGTTCTTTTCCCCTGGGACGGACTGCAAGACTTGTATCTGTCAGTTCACAGAAGCATGTATTCAGTGTTTGGTTGGGTTCACTGAGGAGTGTGTTCACATTTGTAATGGTAATTGTAATTTTGTAATTCTCTAATAGTTTTACTTGTTTCTCATTAGAAATGAGGCCGTTGTTCCCGCTGAAGAAACAAACAACCGCAACACTTTGCCGTCACAACTCGTCGAACAGCGATGTTTACTACCCAGTTTCCCCAAAATGCCTTTGCCTTTGATGGCAAGGGTTTTTACTATATGAGCCTTGTGATGGCAAAATGTTAACTCTTTATTTCGGGTGGCGGGGGGGAGGGAGCAAACGTACGGAATCTAAAATTGACATATGTCACTGAATTGGTCATTACATAAACAAATGAACCTACTTCCATAGTTCTTCTAATGAATGATCTCACGGTAAAAGAGACTTGTTTTTGGCAATTGCCGAAAAATAATTCGACATCGAAGTCGTTGTAAAGAAATGTGCCCGAGCCGCTGCCAGTGGCTCAGCGGCACAGCGGTTCTGACTGCGAGCCACTGGTAGCGGCTTGCCAGAGATAAAGAGTTAATATTATTATTTTCTTGTAGTGGGGGTAGCTTTTGTTTACTTTTCACTATGAGGATGATAACGTTTCATTTTGCTCACAATTTATTGTCATATTTCGAGAACGAGGAAGAAAAAGAAGAATTGTCATATAAAAGTTTTGCAAGGTAGGTAGGATATATTATGTGAGCTTTAATAGATTTTAATTAAACTGAATTACAGTCGAAACTATCTAAGACCTGCACCCATTGTTGACGAAAAAAGTGGCCACATCTTACACAGTGGCCTTGTACAGCTGATTGCCTTATACATGTGGCCGTTATAACAAGTTTGACTGAATTTAAAGAACAATCTACAACTCTTTGTAGAATAATGACGATGATTTGATTTGATATTTCGCAAAGCCAAGGAAACATTTATGCATGCGGGTGATTAGAGGGTGCCACTGTTAGGTCCTACTTCTTTTCTTTCCCTGTGTGGATAATTTAGCGACGGCCGTGATGTGGAGGTGCGAGGTACAGTTGAAGGAACTGCTTTTGACTTGGAGGGGTGCTGCAGTAGTTATTTGAATGACCAACCCTATCAACTGTGCACAGGATTAAGACAGAAGTGATGGTTTTTTTCATGACAAGGGGGATATGACCACAGTTTTTCAAGACCAGCGGATTATAATGAATATTCAAGAATGAACTGCAGGTCACTTCACAGGTATGGTGTGTATCTCCATAGAATTATTAAAGAATTTGGATCCGAACTAGCACTTCTGAGTAATGGCCAAGTTCCTATTTAGCTCTCTCTCTCTCTCTCTCTCTCTCTCTCTCTCTCTCTCTATTTATCTATCTCTCTCTCTCTCTCTCTCTCTCTCGCTCTCTCTC